TCCATTAAACATTCTAAATTACTAGTAAATTTCAAAGAATTAAAATCCGGACAGAACTTATGGAATGACCTGATATATATTTATCAGGTGACTTGTACTACTTCAATATATATTGTGTTTCATGTGAGTTGTGAGAAAGATACTTGACTTGTGTAAGCCAAGGTAATAATGGTAAATTTTTGAACATTTATTTTCTTGCTGTAATAAATGATTATAGTTTTATTGTTAGAATATTGCAGTCTAGATTCCCTTGATCTATTTTAAAACTTTTTGTTGTGTTTTATAAAATAACTGCTACCTTATTTTTAGATACAACCTTAGACTATCAATTAATCATAATATTTTCATTGCTACTCTTAGGTTATAGTAGAACTATGAGGTTTTACTCTGCATCATTTATACAGGCTTGTCTCCCTTTGTGAATAAGGTTAAATGAAATTTTATCTAACTTGTCTTTATAATCACATATAATTCAAGATTAAGCTTTATGTCAGTTCTTAAGTTAATTTCTAATGTTACTATTAAAACTAGACTATCTTTACTATATCTGTTTAAAAATGCCAGCAATACTGGCACCCAAGTGAAACCATTAATCCATGGTCACTAATACTACCAAAATTATTAATTTTCCCAATACTTGTCAAGACTTTTAACAAATTTACACATTGAGTTCTGTTGTTTACATAAATGTGATTGTTGAAAAATACTTTTTTGTTTGTACAATATTTTATAATGTATTTTTAGGCTAAGGTGCTATGTTTTCAGTTGAAAGTTAACCTGGGAATGTTAGATATTATGTACTGGAGGCTAATATCGTATATGATTATATTAATATTAAAGCAAACATTCATCTTTACAAATAATTAAGAATGAAATTCTTCAAAGTTACAGATGATATTTTCAGATGTATTTTGTACCTGGGTATTATGCTTACTTCATAAATTAGAGCAAGCAGTACTAATATTATCTTTCATGAACTATAACGACTTTAAATCCATTCTCTCTCATGACCAGTGCAACTGTCTTTGTGTACTGTATGGAATTAGTTTAATTTGTGGTTAGTCTTGCATTGTTGAATATTGAGCAGATGTGGACATTTTTATCTTGGAAGTTTGAATATAATATGGAATTTACACATTTGCTATGTAACAGGATATATAAGGTAGAAATTCTTATTATTTAAAGATAAAAGATGCCAAATACTGAACAAAGTTAAAGGTAACTTTTTGCTGTGCTTGAAAGTGTTATGAAGGACCACAAGTAATGCCAAATTAATATTATGCTCCTTCAAGAACACCTTTTATGTATTCTTGTCTAATATTCCTAGAATAATAAACTAGTGATAATTTTCTACCTACTATTTTATATTTGACTCTGGTGATAACCAATATTGTAAGTAATTGATTGTAATTTTTTCAAAAGTATGAATATAGTTTATTCCCTCTTGAAATAGTATTTGATATTTTACATCTATACATTAATCTAGGCAGAAGAAAGTATAACAGAAGAAATGGAAGCAGCTTCTGTTTGTAAACGTCGTTTGGATCATTTGAAAGAGCATGCAAGCTCTAATGAGAATGCAATTGCTCAGTGGAAGAAAAAAAGACTAGATCGGATGTTAGTTGAACACTTCCTACGTTCTGGTTATTATAACACTGCTCTGCGATTGGCAAGACATTCTAATATTGAGGTAAGTCCTAGAAGTTCATTCTGTTAGCAGCTGTATGGAACCAAATTAGTTATATAAAAAGTACCTGCTGAAGTACGAGTATGTTTACATTTAAAATTGCTATATTGATATAGATTTATAGCTTATGACTGTTTCCATTGTGTTGTCATGTAAACCTATTGGTGCAGAACATAAGTTGAATGTTTATTTGAATATTTACAATTCATTGGACATGAATTATATTCTGTTATTAATTAAATACCAGTGGCATGTTTTATTAATATTTTCTAAAACTTCAAAAAGTGTGACCTTTTTTACTTCATAAAGCCAATTGTGCAAGTTTCAAATTCCCTAAAATATCATTGCTTATATGGTGTAAAATATTAATTAAAAATGCATAAGAAATATTAATTTTATCTTCCAATCACATCTCCTTCTATCTGTCTGTTCATGAATTGCACTACACATAGGGCTTTTTACCTAAGGTAACAGACTTCTATGAGTCTTTGATTCTTTCTGATATCTTCTGGTTTTCATCATTAATCTTTGTGTAAGGACCATTTTATGTCCTATGTTGACCACATGTAAACTAATTATTGCAGGTAATTGAAGAACAGATAACATTATCACTAGTTTACTGTTCAAAAGATTGTAGTTTTGCTTTTCACCAAAATAGCTTATTTTTTCAGCAAATGTGGTATTTCTATGGTAAGAAAATGTACAATTGCTTTAACCCTACCAACACGGGTCAGAGACCATATCATCACATTTGTTGACTTGCATTAAACATTTTATTGAACTCCTATTTTATGAATGTATGTCAATAAGTTTGATATCAAATTGTAGATTATAATTCAAATTTTAGTATTATACATTAGTTAATTTCTTAATTTAAAATCAGATATATATAAAACAAATCCTAAATATCGATTTTTGTGTGTCACATGGTATGTTGAATGCAGCATTGATTCAAATTAGATATTTGTGATGTCCAAGTGGTTTCTTATGAATTAGATATTCAAATTACCAATGTAAAATAAGAACATCCTATCTTTTCTATTTTCTGAGATAGTAATCAACCAAGGTGGCCCCACCCACCTTTTCAGTTTTTGAAAATACCTGCTTATGTACTCCTGCTTCGCCCAATGATGCGTATATAACCAATCAAAAGCTCAGAATGTCCACCTTGTGGTTTTCTCAGCCTCTGCAAAGTATTTGCATAGCAAATTCTTTTCATACTAGATTTCAAGTGGTAAGGTAAGACATTAGTGAGCTCAAATTTCATATCTTTTTTCACCCAAGTACAGCTTACCTACTAAGCTTGATAAATTATAGCGGAATTCTGTGGTATTAATATAGTAACTTATGATTTTTGGTTATTTCAAAATGTATATATAAAACCTTAAAAATATTATTTCATTTCAAATACCTGGTGACCTGGTGCTGACTTATCTTCCCTTGACAAGACTGTTCTGTCTGGCATCTTCTTCCAATATAGATATTGACAGGTCGTATATCCTCCTTGTTCAATAATACCTTTTAGAACTTGTAGGTTTGCTGCTTCTTGTCAGCACTTGCTGCCTCACCGGTCATCTTTAGGCTGTATAGATTATGCCTTTTTTTAACCTGTCAAGCCAACCTTTGATTACAATAAAAGTTGTAGTTTTTTTAGTACTTGTACTAGGTCCTGGTTTTATCTTCTTTTTTCTGCATGTCTTCAAATAATGAAAGTGCCTTTTCCTGCAAAGCCATGTTAGTAATTGGTGAATCCTTCTGTTGCTTCATGCCATCCACCCGTAGAGCTAACAGACGTTCCATTTCTTTCATTATGTTAGAGCGATGCCTAGTTAGTAATTTAGCAGATGCAGGTGTCAAAGACTTAGCACTTTGGATAACTGTTTCTTTTTCTTTCGTGATAGATGCTGTAGTTAATGGTGAGAACTTGAATGCCTTGGCAATCTCTGTGAGTCTCTGGCCTTCATCAAACTTTTTGATGATTTCCAGTTTTGTTGATACTGAGATGGCTTTTCTTGCCTTACTACTGGTACTAGAATCACTCGCAGTATGCTTACCAGTCATTTTGGATTTAAGGGCAGAGTACAATCTAAGTAAAATGTGAGAATTCAGTTGGTTGTCACCTTCCATGATTCAAACAAGACGTGCAGGATGTAAACAGACTCCAAGGTGGTATGAACTTTTAACGCATAAGCTAGATAAACTTCACATGTCATGACGTTTTAGTGAGTTGCATTCAAAATTTAATTAAACTACTTGATTACCACAATATTCAAACAAATGTGACATCAAAACCATAGATAGTAACTCAACTTTTAATATTATATAAGTTTAAGTTCGTAATTATTTAAGAAAATATTTAAAAACAATCTCAAATTACCCTAGTTTGAGAATTTGAATATTTGTTCTTGAGTCATTTCCTTTTCAGGATTTTTTTGTCCACCCCCTTCAAACTACAAAATGTTACGTAAAATATTCTGTATAATTTCGTCATCGATCTTTTCAGTCTATATTTTTATATCCTTCAATCTTATGGAACTAAAGAGGAATCAGTGAAAATGCAAGAACCTCTTGCCATGCCCACCTTTGACTTGCTCTAATTTACAATTTGCTAATACATTTTTCTAAGGCTGAGTCCTGTTAAATTTATAACCAATAGAAAGCCTAGAATACAATTGATTGATTAAAATATGATCCATCCTATGTTATCTTACAGATAATTGACAATTTAGCTGATGAGAAAATTGTTTTTCCCACAAGAGCATAGTAGGGGAGCTAAAGTTGAATTTGTGACGGTTCAAGTCACGTGATTAGAGGTAGAAAATTTCTCACAGAAAGAACTGTTTCTTAGCTGTTCAAATGAAATTATACTGTGTTCTTCCATGTATTATTTACTTAATGAAAAAAAAATATTTTGTGGACCAGTAACATTGATGTAAAGTATTAGGGCTAACATAGAAGGACAGTCGGCAGCAAAAAAAGGATTACACAGGTGAGTGATATATTTCTTGTTTTTCTTATCTATTCTTTTTTTATAGTAGTATATGTATAAAAAACAATAATACTGTTAGAAAGAAATTGGCAAAAAATACCCCCCAAAAATTCTAAACTCTGGGGTTTGGTACAAAAACATTTTTTTCGTAACTTCGAATTTTTATTAACCAGGAGTTCGTAAAACAGGGTCCACCTGTAATAGTAGAGGTCATTTACATTAAATATAAGAAATATATTTCTCTTCCAAACAGTTGTTAACTATATTCTTCGTTTTAATCAGTTGTTTCTATCAATGTTATAGGATCTGACAAACATAGAACTGTTTTTAATTTCCAAAGAAGTGGAGGAATCGTTAGCAAACAAAGACACATCAAAGTGTCTCAACTGGTGCTATGATAACAAATCAAAACTCAAAAAGTTGAAGGTAAGATTTTAACAGTGATGGTTCATATTTTTAACATACTGTTTGTCTTTCTAAAATTATGAGGAAGTTATTATTGAAGGTAAGTTGGATTTAATTCCACATAACTAAAAATTTTTAAATTTTGTATTTTTCCTATAATTCTTTGTTTGAAACTGATTTTCAGAATCATATTCACTGGTCTACCTCCAGTAATGGAATTTTAAGTATTCCAGTAGATGATTGGTTTGTAAATTATATGCAGACTAGGATAAGAAATAGTTTGATTTCAATTCTGTTAGGACCATTCCTGTACCTTCAGGTAATTGTGTACATGTACCTATATATCTTTTGATTTGCTGATACTCTCACTCTTGCAGAGTTCTCTGGAGTTTAACCTTCGGCAGCAAGAATTTATTGAATTGGTTCGAAAGGACCGAAGAATGGATGCAGTTAAGTACGTATGGAGGTTTATGTCTTGTTTAGTATAAGATTCACAAATACCAAAGCTGTTAGACATGCATACCTACTACAGATTGGTTTTCATTGTGCAGTAGAATTAATATAGTATGAAAGAATGGAGGTTACATGGAAAAAAGAGATACGAATTGCTGATTTCGTTATATGAAAAGATTTGTCTCCAACCAAAAAAAAAAAAAAATGGAGGGATTTAAGTTTGTAGTTTTACTTTTTGTTAGTTTTAATTTTTAGGATTTATGAGTGACAGAAGAGTAGAAGACATGATGTCAAATAATCTTAATTGCTAGTTTTATTACTTAAGAAAAACTTTTTAAAGATAAAGATAAAAAAAGCTATGATAGATAGTGACGCTTTTATGTAGTTTTGTTTAAATTTGAAGTATACAGTTTACTAGGTATTAAAGAGTGTGATGATTGTCAGTGTGGAAAATTTTGAGATTTTAACAGCAACTTATCAGAGCATGAGTTATTTGGTATATTTACTTTTCTCAGCTATAATTATTATGGGTCTTAGTAATTTCATGACCAACAGAGAATGATTGATGGATTCTAATAAATAAAGTGTGAGTTTTAGCTCCGGTGTTGTTAAATCACTAAATTAGCCATAGCACAGTGCAATAAACTGGGTTTTAAAATTAGTAATAAGTATTTGATTTTGAATTTTTTTTTAGATTACTAATCTATATTGACTTTATGTAGCTTGTATTTTTCATTGTATATTATTGGGTTTTGATCATTGAACTATGACAAATTGTATGCAGTAATAAAAAATAAACTACACAAGTAATCTATATACAAGAACTAAGAGTTCTAAGCTTGTAAAGTTTTACCATTTATAGACATTATGTAAAAATTCAGGAATGATAAACTGAGGGAATTTAATTGTACTTCTCTCCCACTAACAGGCATGCTCGCAAGTATTTTGTGAATCTTGAAGATGACCAGTTGAAAAATGTCCAGAGTGTGATGGGTCTTTTAGCTTTTCCTGCAGAGACCGATATTTCTACATATAAGGTATATCTTCTAGTTTTTGTGTGCTTTTTTTACTGTTGAATATGTTTTGGTGTAGTTTTATAATGTTTTTAAGGATTTTCAAAATATGTAACACATCAGGATATTTACATCATTTTTAATCGGGTAATTCTTAAAACTATTAAAGCTTTTCTTACATTTGAATTGTAAAAGTTATTACAAAGATCACTGGCTTTTCAGTTAGAAATTATTGTAATCAGCATATTCTTTTCACCTTTCTTTTGTTAGAAGTACTTTGTATATTCAACTTCATCTATGACTTATGCAAATTTTAAGTATTTGAAAAATATCTTGTGTAGGTAGTGCATATGTTTGTGATTTGATGTTGAAGTGTCCTCAGCATTTCAAATAATTCATTCTACAAGGAGTTGCAAAGAAGTCATTTTTTTTCTTTTGCTTAGGTCAGCTTAGTTTTTTAAGTTTGTTTTAAACTCATATGAATGCTTTGTAATATTTAGAGACACTAGTCATAATTTATTTGAAAAATATATGGGGAATTTAGGGGAGAAGGATGTAACATTTCCATAGCATATTGGTGCAGCAGTCATCCTCAAAACCACAATGGGTGCCCCTGTAAACGTTTTTCTGCACAAGTTACTGTGTTACATTCAAAATTTAATTAAGTTCTAAGTCCTTTATTTCAAAAGAAACCTTTAAAAAACTACTTAAAACTTCAGAGGTATTGTCATGTGACCGATGAGCTATGAAAATTCTCTACTTTGACACTCTGTATCTTCAGTAATACAATGGTAGTTGCATAGATGTATGCCTAGACTCTTTAGATGCTTTTGTAACCTTTTGACTCGTATATTTCAAAGATTTCTGAATGAATACAATAGAAACAAGTAATAAAGTTTCTCAATTCCTGACAAGTGCCACACCCATCTTCAACAGATTTGTTTAAGTTTTATAGCCTACTTTTAGATGTTACATACAAGTGTATAATCAATAGAAATCTTATTTTACATTATAATCAAACAACAGTTATTTTGAAATTGGCATGCAGTTGTCGTCATGGAATGTATGTAACTGACTGTAGTATTGTTAACTGCTTGATCGACTATAGCACTTACGATTGTTTCTTAACTGAATATGTTATAGTTACAGATACAGTTTATATTTTATTTAGGTCTTTTATATTTTAGTTAATTATGTATTAGTTATGTTTTAAAATGCATAACTGAAAGGTTTAAACATTTAAAAATATACATCATACTTTGCATTAGGGTTGTGCATGTCTGCCAGAGACACTGTAATATGCCTCAAGGACACTGTTGACTTGTGTCAAGATGAATGATAAGTTGTAAAGGGCAAGAAAGGAAAATAATACATTAAATTAACTAAATGTGAAATAGAAAAGACCTGAAATTATGAATTTAACAAAAGGAAAATCTTTAAAAATATTCTACAAAAAATTGAAAGATATTTCTTTTCTGTTTCCTAATTTTAATTATTTCTTTGCACTATACATTGATGATAATAGCCAGAGATAGTGATGAAGTAAAGAAAATGAAAAATACAATATAAATATTAACCTTAAAAAACCTTGATATTGTTTTAGGAGGTTCTAGAGATTATGCAAATGAAATATTAAAACTACAAGATGAAGAAAAATATTTTTATACTTAAAATTTAAATCACCTTGCAGTCAATTTGTTAAGAGTTTGAGTGCAAGTAACTACAATAAATAAATAAATAACATATTTTGAGTAAAAATGCTTAATTAAAATAATGTCATTCTTTGTGCACAACATATTTATGATCTTTAACAATATCTTACCAGTTTTTGAGAGGATACATTAAGAAATCTCAGAGTTACCACATGTATTGTTGTACAAGTGAAATTTGTGACTCAATATCTGCAAATTACATGAGCAACATGAAAGGGTTAATACTACAAGTTTCTAAGCTATTAACATAGAATCTCTACAGTATCTTATTAAGTTTTTGCAACAATGTTTAAAAATGTCATATTTCTTGGTGACTGAAATTCTCTGCATAGAGAAATTGGTAATAGAAATTGTTCTGAAGTTAACCCCTTCACAATGAGTACATGTGTATGTATGAGAAGAGAGCTCCATCATATGGCTACATACCTGTGTATGTACTATAATTTCAACATTTATAGCTAAAAGCTGAAATGCTTTATAATTTTGCTTTCTTTTCTAACATTTTGCCATATTATTTGGCTACCTCTGCCAAAAGTCATGACATCATCAGTAAATTAACTCCTCTTAATTGTGATTGGATGATACAGGTGCACTTGGGAAATAATGAGTGAGTTTTTTGTTTGCCTTCGAAGTGTGACTGTCTTATTAGTAAAAAAAACATTCCTTCTAGTAGTGATGATAGTGATGTTGACTATTTCCCAGCTGATAGTGAGAGTAAATGGGATTTATCATCAGGTGATAATGACTTCAGTTCTTGTGATTTGGAAGAATCAGTGCCAGTTGCAAGGCAAACATTGATTGGGTGGAAACTAATTTCCATTGAAACAGCTGTATGAAGGAATAAACCCTGATACAAATATGGCCAGTGAAAAATATAGTAATTATTTCAATCTCTTTATTAGTGAAGAAGCTATGCATTATTTGTATGGATGTATAAGTGATCATGCTAAAGAATATTTAAATATGAATCCTGATTGCAATAGCAGAATTTATAGAATCAAGTGGTGTGATGTTACTAGTTCATCAGTAGTAATTACTGGTAATTACAACACTGTATTGAGGCTTCATTGGTTGAAAAAATAATACATATTATTAAAGAACATCATGATTCTTCTATAATCCCTATCATATTGAGAAATATAATAATTATGTGGGCTCTGTTGACAAAGCAGACCAATATCTGGAACCTTATGACCCACGTTGAAAATCTCTGGCATGGTTCAAAAAGCTAGGCTTTCATCTAGTTTCTCAGATGACACTGAATATATTTCTTGTTTGTAAAAGGCAAACTGGAAACCAAAAATTGAACTATACTGGTCATCTCAGCACCGTTGCCAAAGAACTGTTGACAGACCACACAAATGATGGCTTTGAAAAAGTGAGAATGCAGTACCTACAACAAAAGAAGAGAGAAGTGAAGCGAAAACACGAAGTAGAGGAATCAGTCCATGCTCTGGTTTCTATTTCACCTTCTGAAAAAGTAAAAATACCCCAAAATAACTGCCGAATATGCACAGAAAGGAAAGTAATGAGGACCCACTGTTCTGAATGCCCAGAAAAGCCAGGCCTATGTTCCATTGAACACTTCGACATCTGGCATTCCAAAAAATAAAAAGCATAGCAGCATCACTGTCGTCCGTAACTACTCTATTAGAGCGAGCTGCAGAGATATATATACACGTGTGCGTGTGTATATATGTTAAGATTAAGTGTAATATGTAATAATTATCAGTTATTTTGAGTATCACATATACACACACACATATATACACCTGGAAAAAGTTAAGCACCCCAAATATTTTTCAGGATTGCTTATTGAAAATAAGGTTTAATTTTCATGATGTTGAGCAATGTTCATAATTTCGAACATAATTAAAAGGATGTGAGCGTTCAGGTGTGACATTTAAATCAGCCGCGTTTTTTTCCCCACGTGCAACTTGCTCCCTTCTTCACGTCCAATATGCACTATTTTCTCGTGCATCAAATCCGTATTTAAGTCCCGAATAAGTAAGAATGGCAAGAAGACAGATATCAGAGGTGCAGAGATGGCAAATTATTGACATGAATTCCGCTGGTATGTCCTACAAGGCGATAGGTAGACAGCTTGGCTATCATTACACAGTGATCAGCCGTTTGGTCAGAATCGACCAGATCGAGGACGGTCCTTAACATTCTGGGTGGCAACATGTTTCCATCTGTAACAACCCAACGTGAGAAGATAGGAGCCTTGGTAGATTGGTCAGACGAAATCCGTTTGCAACAAGCACCCGTCTTAAAAGGCAGTGGTTACCTGGTCGTAATCTGTCAATCTGTAAGCTGTGTCTCGCATGATTGCAAGCTGGATTTGGTAACAATCAATGGCAACCTTACTGGCGAAAAGTACACCAGGGACGTGCTTACACCTGTAGTTGTGCCTCATTTTGACAACCACACGTTAGCGTCAAGACCTTTATTCATGGATGACAACGCTAGACCTCATCACTCTAGGGCCAGTAAAGGCTTATTTAGAGAATGAATCCGTCAACACTCTTCCTTGGCCAGCAAGAAGTCCAACCCTATAGAGCATCTGTGGG